GGTAAATCCACTGATTTGAAGGAACTCCAAATGGTATCTTTTGGCAGTGAGGTGCACCTGAGGCTATTGTTTCTCTAAGCCATACATAAAAGAAATTGTAAGGCGGGGCGTGGTGTCTCATGCCTATAATCCCAGCACTTTGGGAGGTCGAGGCGGGTGGATCACTTGAGGCCAGGAGTTTGAGACCAGCGGGACTAATATGGTGAAATCCTGTCTCCACTAAAAATATAAAAATTAGCCAGGTGTCATGGCAGGCACCTGTAATCTCAGCTACTGGGGAGGCTGAGGCAGGAGAATTGCTTGAACCCAGGAGGTGGAGGTTGTAGTGAGCTGAGATTGTACCCCTGCACTCCAGCCTGGGCTACAGAGCGAGACTGCATCTAAAAAAAAAAAAAAAAAGAATTGTATTTATTCAAATTTGAAAATTATGTCCAAATGAGAAATGTTATAGTTTTGATTTGAAAAGACTAACAAGTTGGCTAAATGATCAGGTAAAAACATGCTAAAGTCCAACACGAAAAAGTACAAATTTGGAAGGAAAAAAAAGATGATCAAAATATACTATAATTGGCAAGGCAAAATTTGGCAGAATAGTAATTTATTAGTGCTGAATGATTTCGCATTATAGCATTTATATTGCTTTTTAAATCTTACCCCTATTAATATAGCTTTCTTGTAAGACGACCAAACCTTTGCTGAAGTATAATTTTGCATGTTTTAAGCTCCCTTGTTTTAAAAAGTATATAGATTTAAAGCTGTGACACCAATACCTATTATCTAGCTGTTGATAAATGGCTCTAACTACTGGTTACAAGCATACAGTTATGATCTATTAGGAAAATATGTGGGAATTTAAGTTATGCCAGATAGAAAATACAGTTTTTAACTATTATCTGTTTCCTCAGACTAGAACCATCTATCCTGAAAGAGATTAATGTAAACATGTGAGAGACATTCCCTGGCAGAGTTTTTTTTAAAAATGGTTACTTACACAAGCAACAGATTAATACAGTTTTTTATGAAAAATTTAAAAATTGCAAATAGGGCCATCCTAGATCCCCCACCAAAGGTAATCGCTGTTTTTATTTGAAATATGTATCTTTTCAGACTTTTCTGATAGGATTTTAAACTCTCATTTTAAGTTATAAGGCTAGGCTTGCTTATTTGTTGAAAAATATCTGAGCACCTATTATGTGCCAGCCTAAGCTAGATACTAGAGAAACAACAAAGAGCAAGACACTGTGTGGGAGGCAAAGTGGCTGGGGCATGGTTGTGTGTAGCAGGGACATTTGGGCAGTGAGCAGGCAATCTTAAGACTGTCTTTTAGTGTCTTGTGGGTGATTTAAAAACTTCGCGGCCCAGTGCAGTGGCTCTTACCTGTAATCTCAGCACTTTGGGAGGCCGAGGTGGGCGAATCACTGGAGGTCAGGAGTTCAAGACCAGCCTGGCCAACATGGTTAACCCCCGTCTCTACTAAAAATGCAAAAATTAGCCGGGAATGATGGTGTGTGCCTGTAATCCCAGCTACTTGGGAGGCTGAGGCAGGAGAATCACTTGAACCCTGGAGGTGGAGGTTGCAGTGAGCTGGGATTGCACCACTGCACTCCAGTCTGGGCAACAAAACGAGACTCCATGTCAAAAAAAAAAAGTTTAGGCCAGGCGCGGTGGCTCACACCTGTAATCCTAGCACTTTTGGAGGCTGAGGCTGGCGGATCACTTGAGGTCGGGAGTTTGAGACCAGCCTGGCTATCATAGTGAAACCTTGTCTCTACTAAAAATACAATACAAAAAAAGATTAGCTGGGCGTGATGATAGGTGCCTGTAATCCTAGCTACTTGGGAGGCTGAGGCAAAAGAATTGCTTGAACCCAGGAGGCAGAGGTTGTAGTGAGATGGCACGCCACTGTACTCTAGCCTGGGTGTCAAAGCGAGACTATGTCTCAAAAAATAAAAATAGAAAGTTCGACTTGGGCACCATTGAAGGGTTTTAAGTGTGAGAGTGAAATGCCTTAAGCAAGGTAAGGTTAGCCTTACTTGCCCAGCCACTAAAGTAAAACTCATGTCCCAAGTAACATGTATTTTAAATTTGTCTTACAGAGTTTAAATTTCCCTTTTGAACAGTTGATCCCTGAAAGAGCCTATATAAAGGACAGGTGACTTTTTCATTCTGTTTAGGAAGTTATGCTATTAAGTGGTTGTGCTGGAAGATATTTTATGGTGTCATATCTGAAGTTTACAATACATCATATGCTGTATTTTAGTATATTTTAAATATACTAATCACTTAATAAAGTAATTTTATTTTTCATTGTTACAATTCCATGTCCTAATAATTCATGTCCTGAATCTAGTAACATGTTATAAAATATTTTTATCATTCTTTCCAATAGGATTCCATATGGCTCTCATATCATTCCATTCCATCTCTGCCAAGATTTGGATACCGCAAAAACCTGTGTTTGTGGAAGATTCTGTCTGAACTCTTTCATTCAGGGAACTACTACCATGAATCTGCATTCTGTTGCCCACACTGTGGTCTTAGTAGATAATATGGGTGGTACTGAAGCACCTATTGTCTCTTATTTCTGTTCTCTAGGCTGTTATGTAAATTCCTCTGATATGTTAAAGTAATGGGTGAGACCAGAAAAAGGAATTTCAATAACAGATCAGTTTGGGATGCAAGTATGATTTTGCGACATCAAATTGGAGTAAGGGAAGATTTCTGTATAGTTGCTGGAGAGGAGGAATGTGTATAGTTACTCATTTGACTCCAAAACTTTTATTAAAACCAATTTTAATTTCACTGTGGGGTTAACTTTTTTTTAGTTTATTGTACTTGTGTTTATTTCAGCCTAAAGTTTCCAAGATGGGTTGTGGAGTTTTCTTTTAATGTTAAACAGATATTGATCCCAGTTACTCTGTTGATAAGAATTTTACCAACTTTCTTCTTGCATTTCAGTTAAACACATCTGAGTTTCTGTGTGCAGAAAATATCTGTTGGAGGGCTAATATGTCCTAAATTATAGTGAAAACTTGTTTATTATGAAATTATATGTAAGTTTTTAAGCATGCCACTTTTTGTGTTTTTCAGATACATTATTCTACATGTGGAATTTACATTTACCAAGCAAAACATAGGAATTGTTTCGGGAAAGACTTCAGCTTTCATAATTTTTAAAAATGTTCCCATAGTAATTGTTGTGATTTCTTTTTTTGTTTTTGTTTTTCTGAGATGGAGTCTCTGTCTCCCAGGATGGAGTGCAGTGGCGCAATCTCGGCTTACTGCAACCTCTGCCTCAGCCTCCTGCATAGCTGGGGTTGCAGGTGCACGCCACCATACCCAGCTAATTTTTTGTATTTTTCAGTAGAGACGGTGTTTCACCATGTTGGCCAGGCTGGTCTCGAACACCTGACCTCAAATGATCCA